GGCTGGGCTGAATGTTGCCCGAACGATCACCTCCTGACTAACTAAACCTTCCATCGCTGCTCTCAGCAGCCGGAGACAAACTCAAACGCACGCCTAACACACAACGGTCACCTACTGGCGAGCTAATATCTTTCAATTGAAGTCGAGAATCGCCGGAATTCTTACTGGACGCTGAGCTGAGGACGCTTTTCGACATCGAACATCACCACGGCTCGTCGGCGCGCTCGTCACCTACGGGTGGTGAACGACTTTGCGGAGAGGGGCGTCGCCCTCATCAGCGCGTTCTGCGGCGCCATCACGCGCGACGAGGAACAGCGACAGCACCTTCTGCAGGTCGTGGAGCGACACCGGGCGTTGCACCCGTGCGCGAAGTAGGCATGGGATGGCACGCACGGCGGATTTCGTTTTTTTTTGCGGTCTAACAGTGTCACTAGTGTTGATGGACATTATAGACAGATGGACAGATAGACAGATGGACCAGTTAACATGGACCAACAATCTCACCAGTGTTGAAGGATAACCACGGTTGCCTTTTTTGCAATACATGCGTTCCTGTCTTCCGTCTTTGAATTATTGCAAGTGCGAACTGAGCAAAACAAAATCCTTACTGTACGGGAGAAACCGTACTACCATTCAGCCCCGTAACATTCTTTCCATAGGGGAAACTTTGGTCGCTCTGCGGGACGGGATAAAATTATCCGATCGGAATAAAATTTTGCACACATCCTTGTGTCATAGTATCGACAAGATTTCCGACCCGGCCCGACGAATCCGACAAACTTTTCCAAAATGGACCACCCTAATATATATATATCTGTTTAAAGGAGGATACTGTATTGACTGTGCAAATACACACTTATACACACATATAAGATGCCAATGTCCCACTTTGATGAATTATGCCACTGATGTACTGAAAATGCATTGTAAAAGTATGTTGTGTGAAGTGTTTGAAGTTGAACGTCTTTCTTATAGAAAGTTGGAGATTACGTGGAAGTCCTGTGCATTTTTGAAAGTGGTTTCACAATCAATTGATGGACCCACTTGTTGCAAAGACTTTTACCCACCATCATCAGCTCCCGCTGAAACGACTTCCTCACTTGGTTCTCCACATTGGTGCACTCCTCTTTGAGTTTCTCCAGAACACATGCTACCTTCTCCGGCTCATTGTCCAGCTCGGTCCGACAGAAGTAATGAAGTGACAAGTTCCCATAGCCCAGTGCATCAGCAAACGCCCTCCAGTTTCCCACATTCTCCATCAGGACTGTCCTCACAGTGGCATAGATGTATGTAAGAAATTTGCAAGGTTTGAGGATTTGCTCCAACAGCATCATTGTTGTCAGGTCTGGCCCACACCAATGAATGGGCTTGACCTTTCCCAAAACCAAAACGTTTTTGGCGTGGACAAGTCCCATCTTCCCCTGATAGTATCCAATGTACCACTCTTTTGTGCGCAACTGCCCCCTTAGCTTAATTTTTTCCTCGCTAAGCAGGGCGATCACATCGCCCTTCTTGTACTCCAGTAAGTAGTTGCTCTTGTGCTGCCGTATTACCGTTTTAATCAGCTTGCCAAATTTGAGGCTGGTAATGCAGCGATCCTGAAATTTGGGGTATTTTGAAGTGACAGCCAGTGGTGACAGGGTGATCTTGTCCATCTCTCTTTTTTTCAAGAACCTCCTCTGGCCTGTCGGCTTTATTCCATACTGTGGTGGCGGTTGTGGCGTTTGGATGCAGAACTGGGTGATTATGCAGTCCAGTGTGTCCTTGACTTGGATCCTGAGAGTGAAGTATGAGATGGCGTTGGGGTCATGTGATGACACCATATAGATGAGCCGGCTGACTTTGCCTCGTTTAAGTTGTAATCCCCGGATGACCCCAGCCCCGTCGCAGGCTTTTACCTGATAGTTGGTTACGTTGGGGTACAACCCCACCTGGAGGTCTTGGGGAAACCCCAGGGGAAAATGTTGCTTCCCCCACAAGTGGAGGGTGACTGGAGGGTTAGAGCAAGCTAAGCGACCAACCTCGCTCACCACTAAGCTCTTCGGGGCGCAGTCATGACCAAACATGGCCACGACTGTTTTAAAGGAAGGATGGATGTGCTTGGGTCCATAAACACCAAGTGTTACCTTTCTCTGCATGTGATCCCACACGGTCATGCAGCGACTGATGTACAGAGACTGAACCACAATCGCCACATACATGCATGGCTCAAGACTGTCCAGACGTACTTGGACCATGTCATTATAAATGTAACAACCCGGAATGGGCTTGTAAGGCCCATCTTTGCAGTCACTCCTAACACAAAGTATCTTGGCAGAGTGCCCACCGTCCTCCTTTAACGTGACAGATACTTTAATCTCCAAAGTGACGAAAGACCTGATCTCCATGTTGCTGAGTTTGATCTCCACCACCGGGCTGACAGTGGAGCAACGGTCGTTGTTGAGTTCCAAGGGAAGATCCAGTAAGGCGCTCATGGAGACCTGCTGCTGGTCACCCTGACAAATGTGACCTTCAGGAATGTGCATGGTGATATGGGTGTCAGGCAGCTCAACAACACCTCCGCTGCTCCCCAACCGGCACACAATGCTGGTCTCAATCGGTTGGGTCTGACCCCACCCTGGATTCTGGCCCAGCGATTGCAGGTCATGACACGACCTGGCCAGCTTTCGGTGGTTGAGCCATGCTGTTCGGAAGTCCTCACGGCTCTGAAACTCCTCTGGCAAAGGTGCTTTCAGGCCCGTGAAGAAACAAGAGGAAGGTATGTTTGGATTAGATTGTCCTTGTAGAACCGAAAGTTGGGAGAGACTCTGTGAACGTTTACTCCTTGAAAAAGTATTGTCCCTGTGGAGGTGTTGCATTGCTTGGTTGGGATGACTGCTATTATTGGTGACAAAGTTGGAGTTGCTTGGACGTGCAAGAGTGTCTAAAAGAATCAGATCAGCAGAGTTTGTGACACTTGCTTCTCTGTAATTCCAATCTAATGGATGGATGATGGCGTTATCAGAAAATGGATGCTTGTTGTTAGTTGGCGAGGGTTTAAAAGTCACCCCTGTCCACTCTCCTAACGCTTCAAAATCCTTCAGCATCCCTTCTTCCTCTCCAAGACTGCCAATCATTCCACTGTCACTGAGCGAACCATTTCTGAAGTTGAGCACTGTGACATAAGCAGCAGGGATGTATCCCATCTCTCTGTTATTGTGTGCGTACCACCACTCGCCGCCTGATGTGTCCAGAACAAAGAGCTGATCTCCTTTGGAGAATTTCAGCGTGCTTAAACTTCTGGGCAAATAATCTTTGATGGCGACCACTTCCTGTGCAGCCCCATAGGAGGCAGATGTGTCCAGTCTGAAGGCACTGGGAGAAGGCACTGAAAGCAAAAGAGATCAACAATAGTCAAATAAACTATATGGACACAGCTCAAATAACAAATCAATACACAATTCTATGAGACAGTGAGTGTTTAATATGAATATATGTAGCAACATGTAGCAACTTGAGGAGGCTAAGCGTGCAATGTCGAGAAATACATGCTTGGTGTGGGAGCGCTTGAGAGACCTGACCCAAACTCCATCAAACATCTTCATCACCTACAGCGGCGATTGTGAGCTAACATCAGTGACCTCTGAACGCACAGATGCCGTTCTTTATAAATGCACACAAATGCGACAAACACTCTGAAATCATGCTGTCTTCCCAAAGGAAGTGTTCTAATGAAAAAGGGAAACCACCCCCACAATTTCCACTTTCTGTTGGCCTGCTTATGTGTGTTTGTTTATTTAGCACAATTTAAAACAAGGAGCGTTTGAAGCTGGAGGGGCTTGTACAAGATTCCACCCCCATTCCAATAATTCTATCAAATGAAAGTTTTCAGGAAGAACAATACAAGTGAAAAGACAAAAAATAAATGTCGACAAAGTACAAAAACCGTCATCTATGTGTCTTGGGTCACAAAGAGCCCTTTCCTTCCTCTGTTTCACCCAGTTGTATCTTATGTTTTGAACACAAACTTGTCATGAAAAAGGGAACAAATTTCCTCTTATTCAAATTGAAAGCACTTATAAGAAGAACAACTTTAATGGCAGAAGAAATGCATATTTGAAGGCATAATCTACTATTTCTAGCTCAGCTCCTTAGTGCAACAGAGCATAAATACACTTCAATCAGTGAAGCAATTTACACTTTGTATATAGTATGGCCACGTTGTTCCTTGATATCTAACTTTCGTACACCGCAAGATTCCCTTGGAGGAATACCTGATGCCATATGTGCCAAACATCAAGACAACATGACTCAGCGGGTCAAAACAATTACACGAGAGCAAATGAAACATTTGTTTGAATGAATCATACCTGAAGAGAACATTTCATCGAGTTGTGGGAGGCCAGCTGGGGTCCCCTCGCCGAGATCCACAAGCATCCCCTCAGACTTGCAGCGAGGGAGGACATGATTGCTGCTCGTTGTGCTGATGATTCGATGGACAGCCATGGCCAAGCCTCATTCAATGCTTCTTATCTGGAGAGGAATGAAAAGGTGTTTTTTTGGACTGGAACATTCAATGCTGAAAACAGCTCTGAACAAAGAAATAGTATTACAATGAATAAGTATCTAGAGATAAAATGAAAACTTTAGCTACCTAGTTAGCACACGCTTGAAAATCGGAAATGAAATGTGGCTGATGTCAGCCATGACGAGGAGCTCAAGGTCAAATGTTTATTAAATATTTATATCATCAATGTTATCTGTGGGTGGCACGGTGGGTGGCTAGTGAGCACATCGTTTTGATTTTGGGCTCCAGCTCTCCTGTCAGGAGTTTGCATGTTCTCCCCATGCCTGTGTGGGTTTTCTCTGGGTACTCCGGTGTCCGCCCACATTCAAAAAAACATGCACGGTAGGTTGATTGAATGCCAATTGAGGGTGTAGCCCACCTACTCCGCGAAGACAGCTGGGACAGGTTCCAGCACACTCACGACCATCGTGAGGATAAGTGGTTCGGATCACGGATGGATGGATATTATTTGTGTTTATGTACACATTTTTCCAACTCATAGTACTGAGTTTTGAGATCTACACAATAAGTGTCAAAATTATATGATCTTTTTTAATCAATTTAGCTTTGGTAAGGGACTATGTTTTTTATTTGTGAAATTGATTTCAAAGAAAAACAGACATGTTTACATGAAAGTGCTAAATTTGAATGAAAAGAAGTGGAGAACAGAGTAAATATCATACTTTGGACTCTTTAAAAAGAAAATATTTACCTTTCACATTTAAATAACCCATTGAGAAATACTTAATTCTGAATTTTCCACTTTTACAAACACACACACACACACACACACACACACACACACAAGCGCGTGTCAAATAAAGGATTTCCAGATTAGCTGGTGACCTTACTGGCAGGGCTAAAACACGGTCACTAATTTGCTGTGGCATGAACACAAGATTCCTCAATTCAAAGTATTTCGAGTGAATTAAGGTGGAAATCTGACACAACACTTCACACTTGCTTTGCATTTTATTCGTTGCCGTGACTGTGTGGTGATTATCATTTTGTAATCATTGACATTTTACAAGTACCTTTTTTATCATTTTCAGAGTCACCTCACATTCATCATATTTTGCAATGTGTGGACCTGTTAGCAAAAACAAAAATAAACGTATTTGAGTGCAATGATATCATTAAAAGTGTGTGCGTGTGGGGGTGGGGTGGGGGATACCATTAAAAATAAATGTGAAGCTGTGAACTGACCACTTGCTGCTTCAAAACCGGTCCACTGTGACAAAAATCCACAAGAATCCACAATCATTGTCAGTGCTCATCTCAGTTTCTTTTCTTTCTTCTATGATGCCTCGTTTTAAGATTCTAATAACAAGGTTGATGGCTCAAATTAAATCTCTCCTGCCGGTCCAGGAGTTTCAATCCACCAGACTGAAGGAGGTTGTTGCTGCTGCTGTATGTGTGAGATGTGGGCGTAGTGACGTCAGAGCAGGGGTGGAGCCACGGGCACGCGACAGCTCGGGTTGCAGCTCAATGCAACTCTCAATGGACTGATAGGATAGGTTTCAAAGAGTGAATGGTCCAATTCTTAGCTGGTCTTTCATTTTAATTTTATTTGAAGATATACCGCTACAATATGTTTTTACATTATTTCAAGTAAGAAGGCCCACTTTCACGTCATAGGAGTCAAAGTCGGACCTGCTTGAAAGAAACAAATTCCCTGGCTGCCAACTCCCATCATCATAATTTGATTTCTTCTTTTTCTGTTTCCAGGTCAAAGTTACTCTTTGAGGCAGTTCGATGCTGCACTGACACAGAGTTCACTTCACTTCAGACCTCTATGTCAAAATTGTAATAACCCGATGTTTTTTTTAATCATAAAAATAGCACTCGGCAGTACTGAACTTTATAAAATTTTAAAAAAATATACAATAATACATAACACTGGTCTCAGGTGAAATCTTTACTACTTTAGATCTGTCAGTAATTTGTCCAAATAACACATACACACACGTGGAATAACCAGTCGTATAGATTTGTGAGAAAAAAAAAATTGAAACTGGCTGAATTGGAGGCTGCGGTCCAGTGTGATTGATCAGTAAATTATGAAAAGAAAAAGTTAAATACTTTAGGCATTATATTTTTATGCTTTAATACATTGTGGGTTGTTTTTTTGTTGTTGTCGAGGAACGGAAGAAGATCACGAGCAGGCTGCTCTTAGTGGGCGTTTCAGTTCCCGTCTGTCCAATTAGTCCATCCTGGAAGGAGGAATTAAAATGTGGGCCATCAGGTGGGAGTGTGCGCAGGTTAGACAACCTGATCCAGGAGTTTCTAATCCGACCGGGGGCACGGGGGTGAGAGTGGGGGCTGCAAAGGATTATGGGATTAGGGCGGGGAATATGCCACATTAGAAATCTACATCCTCTATTGCCATGGTGACAAAAAATATATATATATCTCCAAGAGATTTCATTAAGCGACAACAAAACACGTCAGCATAATTCCATGAAGTGATTTTAGAGTTAGGGTCATTTATATTTCATTTATATACTTAAAGTTGACTTCTGAAACTTAAACTAGACTTCCGACAATTTCAGGTCTTTCTGCTGGTATTTCCAAGAAAATAGAGCTGCAATTGATGGTCCCTAATGTGTTCTGACTCTACAGGAACCATCATGTGCCAAGTCAAGTCAAATCAAGTTTATTCATAAAGCCTTTAATCACAAAAGAGTCTCCAAGGGCTTACCAGGCCCCTCAATAAAATCACCGACATCCCCTGGTCTAGTCTCTCCATTCCAGGAAGGAACAACTCAGAGAAAACCCATTCATAATTGTAAATGCCAGCTCTGTGTCACACACTGAACATGTATAGATGTTAATTGGATTGAAGGTATTTTCTAATAAATCACTTGGTAAACGGGATGCTTGTCACGTGGTGTGGGTGTGGTACTTCAGCACAGGTGGTAAAATCAGCTGTTTACTTGGCGGAAGTGTTCTTTCTTTTGAACTGTCAGAGGGTGAATGAGGAAGGCCTACTTTTTGCTGACCGTACATATGCACGCATAGAGGCACGATAATCACACAGAATTGATCGCTTTGGAAATACAATTTAAACCCGCGAGTAAAACATACTGGACTTTTTATTATTATGTATTTATAATTATTATGTGGCTCTTTGGATGGATGAGCGTTCTACACACTTGGACAAGTGATGCGTCTGGCAAGGTAAAGCATCCCTGCACTCAGCCTCTTTGGTGACCACAAGTTGCTTTTGAGACCTGCCTACAAAAACCTTAAGAGCTGGTCACAGATGCAGGAATCCCCCTTCCAGGATGACCAGGCTGACTGCAATGGATGCCGAGCGGGCAATATTAAACACGTAAGATAGTGCTGTACAACTTTAGTTACAACAGCATAAGAGCCCATTTAATGAAATGAAGCTCCGCCTCAGAACTTGTTTCAGTCAGCCGGTGCAGAATCCACAGCAACACTTAACTCATCTTCACCTAGTCCCCTCGGAAACTCAGTTCGTCCTGATGGCTGAATTTGCAAGTAAGTACTTCTCACTACTGGTGGATACCTGCTGCTGATTATGCATTTTCCAGCCTGATGACATGCATATTGCAATGACAACAACAACACCAGACAGCCTAGTAACCTCAAAGAATGACACTTTCATTATCCATCCATCCATTTTCTAATCCGCATTTCCTTATGAAGGTCACAGTTGTGTTTGAGCCTTTCCCAGCTGTCCTCAGGAAGTAGGTGGGGTACACCCTGAACTCGTTGCCAGCCAATTGCAGTGCATTTATAGACAAACAACAATAAGACAGAGGGACAATTTAGAACTTTCAATCAACCTATCATGCATGTTTTTTGGAATGTGGGACGAAACCAGAGAAAACCCACGCAAGGCACAGAGAGAACATGCAAACTCCTCACAGGAAACCTAGGGCCGGATTCGAACCCACGACCTCCGCAATGTGAGGTGAACGTGCTAACCAGTTATACACTATGTCCCTTCTTTCATTTCTCTTGGAAGGAAAATGTGCGTGGCGAAGAGACAATGACCTTGAGATGAATGCAGAGCAACTGTCAACCATTCGAAGGAGGGTGGGGGTGAGGTTTTTTGTGTGGTGGGAGGGGCCCAAGGGCCAGAGCCACGACACCCGTCTTCACGGATGTGCATGTGTTTCTAAACACACTTGTATTCGCTGCTGTCAGACTGAGCTGGTGAGTTTTGGTCACATTGTGCATAATTTTGACAGGTTGCTGCATAGCTGCTGCACACATGCAGTGTACAAATTGTGAGGAAACGATTGCCATTTAACAGAGAGTGTGGAATGAACATTTAATATTAAATTGATGTGATGCTGATTATTCAAATTTAAAGTTAATTACCGTGTTTCCTACCTCTAAGCACTACAAACTTAGTAATGAGTGAATTACAACAAGAGTAATGTCAAAATAACAAAAATGAACAATTTTTTTGTTTTTTGGTGCAGGTTGCCGTGGAAATGGGAGCTTTCCCAACTCCTCCCCCCTTGGACGCGACCCACCATCCGGAGTCAGTGACCAAAACTGTGGCCGGTATGTGAATGAAAGTTCCTGAAAGAGACATTTTCAGTCGGCCAAGATCTTGTTGTTAAAGACCAACACACTCTTAGTTCAATATTGTAAAAGTCAACAAAGACTTGAAGCAGATTGGCTGCGCTGTGAAACCACAAATGTTTGCTTTTGTTATCGGTAACTGAACACCTTCACTGGGTTCTCATCTCCTGCTGCACTCCTGCTTCTTCTTCTTCTCACCTGGCAGAGTTTTTACATTTTATTTATTTGGAAATATACCAAGAGGTCACACGTACTCCACTTCATATAAGAAAAAAAGAAACGTTTTGTCATACACTGTGTTGAAATAACGATGACATCACTACTAAGGCTGAGTAGGAGGGAGTGTCTTCATTTATCAGCCTTATATCAGAGTAGAGTCTGTGAAGGAGCAACTCCCTCGTGCAGCGTCTGTTGCCGTGGCGATAAGAGCAGCCAGCAGGTTGCGGTTTCAATTCTTGGCTTCGGCCTTCCTGTGTAGATTTTAGACTTTTCCTACATTAAGTAACTTAATCAATTACCGTATTTCGTTTCTACTTTCATTTATTATTCAGTGGTGCCTTGATTTAAGGGTTTAATTTACATTCCGTTACCCAAAACACTCGAATCTCAAAGAGCTAATTCCTCAGTTCAATGAATGGAAATTCGGTTTCAGTGCCGCACTTGTATCGTATTGCATTTCATAAAAACATAGTTATAACATAAATCTAATGTAAAGAATGACAAAGTTTGTGCATCATGATTTCATGCTTTAAAACGCAACGCCTTCGCGCTTCAGTTGGAGTGCAAGTCTGGGCCACCAGGGGACAGTATACACATTCGTACTTACAGTAGTTTCACAATTGTGATTCGGCCTCTGGAGAAATTTTACACGGTTTTCTCAGAGGATAGAGAACTTAAATAATTTTATAAATAAATAAACAGACAGATGCCAATTTCGTTATCTGATATAATGCACTTTGCTTTGCGTAAGCATTAAGCTATCAGACTTGTGTAGTTTGAAAAAAATACACATGTAATTGTCTTTTTTTATGTTTAAATTTCAACGTGGAATGGCAATAAAGGGTTGGAATAAAAAATCTGGCCTCTTCTTTGAAGAATTTTTCACTATCTGCTCATCGGGATGAAGTTCAATGCCACCATTTAGTGCCTATAACTCTTTTTTTTTTGCTTACAACTCAGGACAAAAAAAATGCTCTCTGAGGCTCATATCTTAGGTCATAAGTCAGGTCATTCATAGAGGAAGTTGAGGTACCACTGTATTCTTATAGGTAGATAATTTACTTTTGTGTCTACTTTTTGGGACATTTGTGTTGGTGATGTGTCATTTTTTTTCCTCCGGGAATCTGTGTTGAAGAATTACTGCTCTGGAAAATACTTAGGGCTGCAAAGTTTCTCCTTAACTGAGAGGAAGAACTGGGAGTCAGACCAGGAATAATTCACCAATTTTATACTTCAACTTGTGTTTTCTTTTTTTCTTTTCAAGACTTCAATGTGGATGGCGGAATCGTTGGGGCCTTGATTGGAGGTGAGAGCTAAACACCAAGGGCTCTATTTTCACAGACTGCATAAATGCCGCCGTATCCTTATTCTCATATCAAGGCAAGTCGTTTGCCAATTTGGTAGACCAGTCTCTGTCAAGATGGCCGTTCCATCACAGCGAGGGTGTGTCTATAGTGTAGTGACAATTTGATGGCAGAGAGTCAATCTTAATTTACACCATCTGAGACCACATCTAAAGGCTGATATGTGATTTTGGTGAATTTGGGCACAGTCAGACACATGTGAGGGATGTCAGATGTCTTACATTCATAAATGCGTGGACAGCAGGCATCATACCCTCTCAATCATTGTTTTTTATTTTTCAAATCATCCCACTGAGCGACACAGATTTTGGGGGTTACACAAACAACTATGAGTGAGAGGATGGATGGAGGGGTCTCCAATGCCCACTTCACACCGTACATGTGCTTCTGTTATGTTGAAACTATGAGTGCACCTAATTTAAACGGAACGAAAGGAGACACTTTGATTGGTCATGATTGAAGTCGGCTGTGACCACTCCCATAGCATCACTTATTCTTGCATAGCCGCTGTCCTGCAGAGTTACGTCACATGCCGGACAGGATTTATGATTTTGTAAATTCAACTATGCTTTTGCTTTTGGAAGTAAAACGCATGGATTTCAGTATTGTACTGTATGGTTGTGTCTTTCCTCTTGTAGGTGTCATCAGTGCGACACTAATCCTGATCTGTCTGATGGCATTCGTGCTTTGGCGCCGGTCCAGACATAAGGGCTCTTATGTCACCCATGAGATGGACAACCGGGATGATGATGATGATGATGATGATGATTATGGTGATGAAGATGATGATGATGACTCAGGATGTTCTGACACTGAACTCCAACATGAAGTACCTCTTGAAATAAGTGCGAAGGACTAGAGCAGGAAAGTGTGAACATTTTACACGAAGATGGTGTGTAGTACAGTGCCAGTCAAAGATTTAGACACACTATCTCATTCAACAATATTGTGGTTTTTATTCTCCAAATATGACTACACTTTGAAGATTTGAGAATAAAAAATGTATAATTTTTGCAGGATACAATGGGTATAAAAGTCTACACACTCTTGTTCAAATGGCAGATGCTGCGGAAGCTCCTTGGCTTGTCCTGTATTGCAGGACTCTGAAAATGTCAGGAAAAGCATACTTCAACATTTGAACTTTATTGAGGGTTAATCAGAGGCATTTAAACGTTGACTGGTGTGTGCCTGACTCTCATTTAACACAAGTTCCAATTTTTAAAACATGTGCCCACTTGTGGAATTACATGATCTTAGTTGTCTATTTTTTACATCGCCTCTCAAAAAGATTTTTTTGTGAATTAATCTGTGCAGTTACAGGTCACATTCATGGTGAAAAATGGATTCTCTTAGCCTCATTTTTTTATATCACAAAAACCTGACACTTAAGTAGGAGTGTGGAGACTTTTGATATCTATCGTGGATATATATTTTAGTCACTTTGTAAATAAAATATCTCTCATTTTTACATTCACCTATTCTCTAATATATGAGGTAATAAATATGTGACAGTCAGGCGCCAATACTACCAATTTTGAGAGATCATAATTTTGTAATTTTGAATTTGTACCGTTTTTATTTTTTATATATAATTAAAATGAACATGTGAACAACACCACCTTGTGGCTAAAATGTATCAATGTATCCAGGTGTCAGAAGGACAGACTGAAACCACTCTCAAGGAAGGAAACCCGGGATATAATTTAGACATTTCCCAGAACTTCTACAATGTGTTTCACAAGTGACTGAGACAATAATATGACTGCATAGTCTCAATATTTTTTTCTAGATGTTTGGGAGTGGTGAGAGCTGGGGTTGGGGTGGTGGGAGAAGTTCTCAGGGGAAAAAAAATTGTGGTACTATTTCACATCAAATCATTCATGGCCTCTTATTACCTTTTTCTGCTCATACTTTCTCTGTTTCCAGTACAAATTCAGCCTGACATCAGACGATAACACACAATTAGTTAAGATTCAATTAATTATGAAAGTACATGAACACATAAATGAAAGGAAAATAAGACATATCTATCTATATCTGTGTCTGTCTCTTTCTTCCCCCTCGCTCACTACACACACACACACACACACATATAAATTAAAACCATAAATCACATACATTTAAAGTCGTCGTTTGGGTTCGGGACACGTCTCAAAGCTACTCTCTGCAGTGTCGTATGTAGTAAAAATAAACAAAATAAAATAAAAGCCAAAAAATGAAATAGAAGGCTCGTATGTATACCACGTGGAATAGTATAGAGTCCAGCATGCGTTTTGCAGTCGAATGAGACTTTGTTTTTTAACCTGAATGTTTCAGGTTTCGCGATTCGGACGACACACCAGCGGATTTTGGCCAATCTTCACTTGAACAAAGTGGAGTGAAACTGTGGGGGCGGTTCCGTCGTGACTTTTGTCAGTTGAGCTGCGATGGTCTGTTGAGAAACGGAAACCAAAAGGGATCTCTTCACATTTCAAACGTGAAAAACCCTGTCTTCCTTTCTCTTGGGGGATGCGATTGTCTCTGGTGCCTCTAGACTGACAGCGTGCTCGTGCTCTTCAAAGGATTTAAATCACGTTTGTGACATTTTGTGGGTTCGGATCTCAGCATGCTGGTGAGCTCGGCGGTTTACGCCGTGAAGAAACGGAAGAAGCCGCTTCAAAAAGCGTAAGTCACAAAAAAGAAGAAAAAAAAGACGCTTTTGTGATTACGCGTAATCTCTTCACTTGCGGTCTGTTCGTTTATTATTATTCTACAGCTACGTCACTATGCATGTCGTAGTGGGTTGGAGCGATGTTTTTAACAACAGTGTCCCATAATGAATATATGATATATTATCCGCAGCAGATGTGGCAAAAGATTGTCAATTTTTGACCCATTTGGTAACTTGACATAGCTGGCAAATATCTAATTTCTGACAGGATAATTACGACTGAAGTGACGAGTCCTGCAGAAACAAAGTAAAACAACAAAGCAAAATAAGGAGATACATGAGCTCATGATGACAACTGCAAAAAAAAAAAGCCTTACCTGTATATGTTTTATCAGATAAGATGAAGAATTTTTGAATGCCAGAAGCTGGTGGTTTTTAGGTTGTCACAAGACAACACATTTGCCAATAATCATTATTGTCTTGCACACACACACACACACACACACACACACACACACACACACACACACACACACACACACACACACACACACACACACAAAAAAGGCCATTGATGGCTGTACCTGATTCCCTGAGTCTGTTGCGTCCTCGTTGTTCCCTTGGCTCACATTCTTTTTTTTTCTGCCTAAGAACCCAAGATCTAGTAGTGAAAACCTTAACTGTAGTTGATTTGCCCTCTTTCGCTTTGACATTTCTTTAAATTTTTGTGATCAAGCAGGAAGTTTGAAAAAAAAAGCATCATGCCAATGTTGGCAAAGTCAGGAGTACAAAGATTAAAGGTGAAGTCGGACAAAGAAATAAATACTAAAGTACAGTTATCCTGACAAACCTACAAGTACTTTCCATGACTGTTTTGATCCACAAACATGCTGTGACACTGATTTATTTCAGTACCACCTAAGTCACCTTCACTTTACGAGACATCTGAACCTGTGACGGTCATGCAATACATGTAGACTGAGTGCATGGCCAACCACTGTTGCTATTTCATGCCGGCAGTTCCATGCGAGCCACCCCATTCTCACGTGTGCACTTTGAGTGCTTTGTGTTTGGAGCTTGGGGTCAGCAGGCAAGCAGAAAAGTGTCTGGTTTTTGGACAGTGATTTTTGTGGCGTGACACATGAGATCGTTTCCCCCTCTCTTTATCCACCACATCTAAGTTGTAGTTGTTCTCGAACTCATTGAATAAAGAGAGAGTGTTTCGATTTTATTGACAGGTCGGCGTGGTCTTGTTGGTTTAGTCATCAGAACACTGGAAATTAAGAACAAATGAACACCCGATCAGTTTCAAGGTATTGTTAAAATACTGTCCTGCTTATTATTTTTATTATTTTTTTAAACAAGCAATAAGAAAATTACATCTTTCTTCTTGCCAAGGGAGCTAATATAAGATTCAGGAGTTTACCTCTGTGTTATCTTTCTGTAGCTTTGGTCTGCCCTGCACATTTCTTGACATTTCGGACTTAGGTCTCAGCACTGTGTTTTGAAGTCCCTCTTTCCAAAGTCTCACAGAGAACTAGTTTCTCCCAGGAGCCTCTTGGCCCAATTCTGTGTGACATCACCTTGAAAGATGTTTGCTAATACTGGACAGGTTGTTGACCTGGAGATGATTACCTAATCCTACGTTCAGGCCGAACGCAAAACCTCGCTTTGCCCCACGTGTCTTGTACACCTTTGCGGAAGAACGACGAGACAGAAGAGGAGCGGTGAGTCCTTCTTTTCTGACAGCAATAAGGTGGTTGTGCCAAAACCTAATGTAAAATATAATCGTGGTTTCCATTTCAACAGTTGTAAACAAGTAAATACATTGACACATACATTCAGATTGGCCTAAATGCTGCAGAGGAGAATGTGGCTGACGAGGTGAAGACTGGCAGGTATGTAAGTGAGACAGGTGCAGTGATTGGGGAGACACCCAGCCCACACTGAATTAAGGGAAAGGCAACCAAAAACAGAACAGAGGCAGGGGCCACACAGTGGAACACCAAGGACAGACACAATCGATTCGAACACAAGCATGCCGTCTCCGTTGCCAAAATGCGGAGCGGGTCGGTAGCACCTCATTGAGTGGGAGCGAGCTGAATAGAAAGTCGTCCTTTATAAGCAAATAAGGGCTGGTTAACTTGGCAAAGTACATATCCAGACTTGGATATATATTTTTTAATTTATACAGGAAGGATTAAACTAGAGCAATAGCTAAGAGTAAAAATGTCCTTTTCTCTAGAGATTAATATTAAGAAAATATTTCCATCACAGCATGACAAAGAGTAATGAGAGAGAGAGAGAGAGAGAGAGAGAGAGAGAGAGAGAGAGAGAGAGAGAGAGAGAGAGAGAATGAGACGTTGAGCAACCATGTGAGCGATGAGTGAACAATGGGGAGCATAACAGCCTTGTCAACAACGTTAATAGTCCCATGATGACAGCAACAACGGTGAAAGCCTCCATTGCCAACACCACTGTTGCCAGCTTCTCCAACATCAAAAACAATCTGATAAGTGTGCATTCACACGGTGGTTGCAGCTTGTTGCACAATTTGGTTAATTTGATGTGCGGTGACATCAGAGTGACAGCAGAAATTGTCAACTCAGAGGAAGCTATGTGTCTTGACCAAGAAACTTCACATGCCGGTCGCTGCTGGCGGCATTACACCTTTGTGACTGCCTCTGATTCAATGTCATAACCTCGTTTTGCATAGGACAGTGAAAGTGAGTTGCTCAAGATGGTCAGTGTAGAAGAGGCTAACATTGGTAACAATTGTTGTTTGCGCCTCTCCAGCTTACCTAAGGCTGTAATCAGCCATTAGTCGATTCATTTATTGTTAAGAACTCTTGTGGCTATGTTGTATTAATAGTTTATTTTGGCCGTTCTGTGTAAAGTAAAATTTTTTGTCCCGTACTTGTGTCAAGTTTGGTCAGTCTCACGTTGGAAATAAAAATACATGTTAACGCATCAAATTCTAAGAACTTTTTGCTTGTGTTTTTATTTACAAAGGGTCAAATATTTGCCCAACATGGTTATCACAGCCTTTTCCGTTGTTTTTGCAGATCCAAGAACATGGATGAGTTTTACACGGGTCAGTGATGAAATGGTCTGTCTGTTTGAACCGTTTTGTTTTTGAATCATGCAATGGAAATGATTAAAAAAAAAAATCTGATTTCTCACTTAATTGACAAAACAACTGACTGTTTAATCCATCCTCTTTGCTTATCTGGAGTTTGGTAGAGAGCGCAGTACCTTTCCTCTCCCCAACCACTTCATCTAGCTCTTCTGTGGGGATCCTAAGGCATTTCCAGTTCAGCCGGGAGTCTCTCCAGTGTGTCCTGGATGGTCCCCGGGGCGTGCCCGGAACACCTCACCACTGAGGCATCCTAATCAGATGGCCTAGCCACATCATCTGGCTCCTCTCAATGCAGATGAGCAGCGGCTGGACTCTGAGCCCCTCACAGGTGGACCGAGCTTCTCACCCTCTCTCCAAGAGAGAGCCCGGACACCCCACGGAGGAAACTCATTTCGGCTGCTTGTGTCCGAGATCTCTTTATTTCCGTGTGTGTCACATTATTTTGTATTTCATGTTTGTAGTTGTCCGACAGCTGACACTGCCTCCCTTTTACCTGTGTCAAGACGCAGTTTACTTCCGCCCAAGACAAAGCACCTTTGTGCGATCGCAGGGGAGTGGGTTTTTTTTTCCACGTCACCTGATCCCATATTGCACTGCCAGACACACCCCTGATATGGCCGATGTGCCAGATAGTGCCAGAGGCCGCAATACCGGCTGCTTATTGTTCTTTCCAACAGGAATGTGTCGATAGCCATCTCGCCTTCATTTCAGATCCCACGTTTTCTGGAGGATTATTGGCAGCAGATGGCTATTTTTACTTGAAGGAGGGAAAGAATGTCTGCGTTTAATTCATTCCACTACATGCATTTACTGTAGCCTTGAACACAGCACCAGGACCTGTCACAGCTTTGTAACAGTGAACTAAAACTTTTACACAAACTGTAAAGACAGGTGCTGCAAATATGTTGCAATCGTCTGGGTTGTTTCAGGCTAAGCAGATGTCTGCTCATAAAAGAATGCATGTCATAATAAAATAATGCGGTATGGTATCCTGTGGTTTATAAATACTCTGGGTCGTCTCGTGATTTTATAATGTCTCATCAAGCCAGTGAGAGCTGATGCCATTTCATATAGTACATCCTGTCCTCGTATGTGGTGATTCAGGCTGTTACCTTGCTTCTCATGATGTTGTCTTTGATTCGTGGTTCTGCTTATGGAGGGAGAAGGCATTCCAGGTTGGCTACTGTTTTTTTAAAAAAAAAAAAATCAATCTGCATGTTCTCATGTTCTCCTGCTTGTATGCACCTTACTCATGTTTTGAACTGATTTTCATCTTCTCTCTGGCAGACCCAAACTGCCACCTCCTGAAGGTGCCCAATCAAACCCGTCCAAACGGCATCGTGACCGACTGAACAATGAACTGGACAAGCTGACCAGTCTGCTGCCTTTCACCGAAGATGTTTGTGCTCGTCTGGATAAGTTGTCCGTGCTTCGACTCGCCGTGGGTTACCTGAAGGTTAAGAGCTTCTTTAACGGTGAGTCTCAGCAGAACTCAGAGCTGCAGAGTTGCGCTGATAGTAGTATAGTACGCTTCACTCCACTTTGTGTTCACTCAAATATCTTCATGATTTAAGTTTCAACCCAATCAGTCAGCAGTTTCTCTGTAACTTAACAATGCCAGAGCTTAATCATTTATTGAAGTGGTGGGGCAAATGTTACAGGTTAGGTGCACATCCAATCTTCCATCACTCTGCAAACACGAAAGCTGGGGCAGTTATTACCAGGACAAGGTCGTGCATTTCCACCAGCTTCATCATACTATTTGACTGTCCTTTTGCAATCTAGAAGCTATCAAGTGCAGACTTCCTGAAAGACCGAGTCCCTCTTTCCCAGACAATGAAATTCTATGACCTGGTTGACTTCAAAATTGCCCAATTAATGTATAAAGCACATAACAATCTCCTTTGTCAAAATATCCAGAAGCTTTTTGAAATCAGAGATAGTTGTTATAATCTAAGAGGTATTAATCAATACAAAAAATCCAGAACAAGAACAAACATCAAGCAAAGGTGTGTATCAGTAATAGGAGTTAATCTGTGGAATAAGCTTGAGATGGATCTGAAAATGAGTAAATCGTTGGACGAGTTCAAAAACAAATTTAAAAGATTAGCACAAAAAAACTACATAAAACAAAGTTAAGAAGATACATTTTACATACTGGTACCTATAAAATATAGTAATACTATGGTTTGTTCTTGTTCTGGATTTTGAACAACTTATTGAATGTATTCAAGAAATGCAGTATATATAATGAATATGAGTCATTTGATATAAAAAGTA